AATTCACAATTGGCGACGGCTTTTCAACGCATTCACAATTTTCCGCCGCTCACGACAATATTGCATTTTCGCGTATAAACGTTCAAGTTTCAACTGAATTCACAACTCGAATTGCCAAAGTTTTGGCACCAGAGCGCGCTCTTGTTGTTRTTGTTGCTGTTGGTTTCTGATTGGAATGGGGAAGCACGCATAGGGCAAYAAGATGGAGCGAGCAAGCGAGCGAGCGAGCGTACGAGCGAACGAGGCTTGTGCTGAGCTTCCGGTTGGACGTACGCTGTGAGCGCGACTGTCGCGCTGTGGCTGCCGCAGTGGGCAAACAAACGAGTTTCCTTTAACGTCACACACGAGCACACACACAAGCACGTATACGCACACATGCATGCGCACGCTATCGCGCTGTGTCAGTGGGTGTTGCCTTTGTGGAGTTCGTTCGGTCTCTTTCTTGTGTGTTCGTTTGCTCGCTTGCTCGCTCGCTCTCTCGTGCTGGCGCTCGTAATCAAATTGTAGCCATATTAAAGTTTGCTTGATTTGCTGTTTAGATATTTGTGTGAGCGCTGTGTATACATGAGTGTCGTTAGCTGTGTGCATGTGTGAGAGTGTAGTTTTGTCTGTGTGTGTGTAATGCTCTCTTGGGACTGCCCACTTTCGTGCTCCGTATTTCGCGGCTCTCGTGGCGTATGCTCAACATTTGAATTATGGGCGCTCGCCATAATTATAATCATTTATCATATTGCACTCTCGCACCATAATAATCATTAGTATTAAAATAAAATCTGTAAATTATCCATATATCTTGCAAATAAAATGCTTTGGTATTTTATGTGCACTTTAAACAGCATTTATTATTATTATTAATATTATTAATATTTGTTTTTTTTCTTTTCAATTTATTGTTGTAGTTGCAACTTTTGAAATACTCGTATATATGTACGTCTAATTGATAATTCTCACACCTTCTTATCAAGTGCATATTAAAGTAAAGCCATAATTAAATTGACTGTAAACACAATTCATTTATTTAATTCAAAAACTTGCAATCTCATTTAAATGAGTGATCATATCGCAGCTTAAGTATACTTGATTTTAGCTGTTAATAGTTTTTAATATAATTGACGTAAAAGTATCACAACATTTCAAATGGGTAACTTCACGATATGCTAATGCATAAGTTAAATGAGTTAGATGACAAGACTACAAAATTTTAGCTCATCTGTCATTTATTCACATTCATTAACATACGTTTTTATATGAAATTAGAAATTAAACCCATTTAAAATGGGAATTCGGCTTATATTAGATTTCTTAAAAGTTTATAAAAGCCTTGCCAAGCTGCGTTTTAAATGATATATGTAACACAAATTATATAAATTGAAGAAGACTTTTAAGTTAAAGTTTATTGGTTAGTTACTTGTATAAAGTCTGTGGTGTTCCGGTCGGATTTCTTTCGGGTAACTGTTTGCGTTCATAATTCGTTTTGTTTCTAATATAATATTATTATTATTGTTATACATATATTAAGAGAGGCACATTATCAAACAAATAATAAGTTAAATTTTCTGAATAACTAAACAAACGTTAAGTGTTTATCTAGTGAAAAATATACTTTACGCTTCAATCGTAAATAAGAGCATCTCATACTCCTTGACAACAATAAATTATGCTTCCTGCTTAATTAATAGTGCCGTGTGTCTAAAAAAATGTGCAATTAAATGTAGAATTTTATATACAACAGATTGATAAATGAGTGGCGAAGCRATAAGAGAAATCACTGGGCACAGTTGACAGTGTCTACAACAAGTTCAATTACCACAAATTAAATTTATTAAATGCAAAGAAACCAAGTGACGATAAAACCCAATTATTTATAGGCGCAGCCAAAATGCGAGACGCCACAATGTGACAAATACAAAAGGAATGAGATGGCCAAGAAAAACAAAATAAAACAAAACTACCTCATAAAAGAGACAAACGCCACACGACAACCAATGCGGCTACCTGTTCGACTGTGTGTATATATAATTTTTATGGGAAAACTATATATAGGAAAAACTAACAAGCTCCAAATGAAATGGACTCGAAATGCGTGTGCGATACGCGGCTGGCCATAAAATGCCGCAAACATGCAACAAAATTTATGCGAAACTTTAATGAAACGCATACGGAGAGTAATGTATTATACGAATACACACTTAAATACATACACACATACACATATACATACATGCACTAATATATATTGGGCTGGCCAATGAACGCGTCGCGTTGCATGACTCCACCTCAAAATGGGGACTCTAAAAGATTGCCCCGCACACGCAACGGGATGAAGTGCACGAAACAAGTTTCTCATGTGGCAAGCAGGCGAGGTCTGTGCCACAAAGGGACGTCGCGGCGTCCTGCTTGATTGCCAGGCGCGATAAATGCCGCGAGCGCGTGTTACCAAACTTGTGGTCTCCTGGCTCCTGGCTCTGGCTCTGCCTTTGGCTCCTTCTTTGGCTGCGGCTGTGACTCTCTGACTTCGAGTCGAATAGGAACTGGATATCGAGTGGCTGAGGCAGATAACAGAGGAGGTGGCAGAAGCAACTGAGCCAAAAGTGGTAGAATTTGTAATGGTGGCCAGTGTGGCAAGTAACCACAACGCTCACTTGTGAAGCAGAGGCGGCGCCTTAAAAGGGGCTTTTAAAATCGTCTTGATAATTATGGAAGACTTTGAAACATTTATTAAATTGCCTTATGCTATAAAATACAGAGTAAACTTAAGCGTGAGCATAAGCAAAATTTATTAAATGAGAAATGTATTTAAATAATGCGGTTTTTATATTGAATGAACTTTAAAACTTTCGTCCCAACTATAATACATAAAATATAATCTATTTATATATATTTCATTTACACGTATATACAAATTAAAAACAATTTAAAACCAAATCAAAATTTTCTTCTGAAAGTTATTTATAAAATGCAAAATAATACTTATAAAAATTAAAATGAATAATACAAAATATAATTATACATATAAGCTTAAACCAGGGATCGTAACGTTTATAGTAAAAATTAAAAAATAAGAAATATATATAAAGCCTTAAACACAATTTTTTGTTAAATAGCTTACAAGCTTATTTACTTCTCTTCTTATATACTTAAATAATTTTTTTTGTTAATCCCCTTAAAACAGTTTCGAGCTATGTCTTTTGTGAACATGCCTCCTGTGGTGGCAATCCAGTCGCCTTTATGGCGCCCAGCTATAAAAAAAAATGGGCTGTGCTGGGCTGGTCGCTGACTGGTTCTCTCCGCTGAGCCAGCCAGCCCCCTTCGAGCACCGCTGATCCGCTCAGAGGTTGTCGTTTCTTGACCCATAGGCCAGTGCGGCATGACAGTTTTTTAGGCTTTATCCATGGCACTGCCATTGCAATTAATTTTGGCATTTTGACATTTACGCTTTTTGTTGGACGCTATCTCAAGCATACGCAAATACTTTTTGTTCAGGCATGCTGACGGTCGATAAGACATTTTGTGTATATCATTTGCAATGGAATTTTCTCACGTTAAAGGGCTTTCGAAAGTTGGCCAGCGTGGCGCCACTTCCCAAACCCCAAAGACCTTTTAATTACTGGCAAAGACAAGTCCTGTAGTCGGCCCATAACTCGTCTAACAACTTTGTCAGCGCGGCAGCATTTGAAAAATTTATGCTGTCGATAAACTAATGAAAAGCCCAACGAGATACTCTAGCACTTAATTGAAGAGCATCCCAGTCATAGATTTCGGCATTTCGAATGGCTGCACTCTCTATATTTTGCCCAGGCACTTTGGATTGCGCTGAGTTATCTGAATCGTGAAGTGGGTGCCGTACACAGTAACCATATCTGCGACTCAACAACTTTGTAGCCTTAATTGTTGTTGACAAATTGCAGTTGTTAAATTTGTTAGGCCTTGGCTCGCATTCAATTAAATTTCCTTTTAATGGCCGACACTATTTGCGTAGCAATAAATGTTTAAAGTCTTGCATTAATATAGCTATAGGAATAAAAGCTAATGCATCAAGCTAACAGTATCAGAAAGACAAAAAATGGTTTACGTAACTTATTTCTAATGCAATTCTCAAATTATAACCTGCTTATAGCAGCATTACATTAAATTTGTGAACAATTATTAAGAAATATTAATAAAATTCCATTGAGTTAACAAACGGATGATTTCAGATTTCGATTATATTCAGGTTTATCTAAAATATGATGCTTGCTGTATATATGTATATATTCTATCTATGAAATTTATCACCTGTCAATTCCCAATCCAATTTAAATATCAACGTAACTTGAAAGTAATTGAATTTGATAATTGAGAATATGTGAAAAAATAAGTTTGGATATTAATAAATAGCTATAAATATATGATGGAAAAATATTTAAAATAAAAAATTTTATAAACTAATTTTAAATTAAACAAGACTCAAATATACAACAATAATTACAATTTTTGCTGTGTGAAAAATTTGTTAAATAAAATATAAATTATAGTTACTGTCAATAATATATTGCATGATCACGTCATTACAGATTACTGTAAATGGATCTAGCTTAACTATTATTTTAAGCTTACAATACGAACATTCTTAGTAAAAGCAAGTATTGTATTTACTTATTGTAGTCCGCTTCGATATGTGTCCTGGCATGACAACATAAACAAAATCCTACGACTGATACCACTAATTATTCCAATTGGATACACAATCGTCTTGCATGTTCTGCCATCTGCAGCAACAAAATAAAACTTGGAGCTCACAAATGGCCTAGAGGCAATATC